GGTGAGCACTGACACTCTGGAGATCAGTTGGATGCCCTCACGGGGGGCAGTGCTGTACGAGACCCGGGCTGCACACAGTTCAGAGGTCATCCTCTGTAATGACACCGCACCGTTGTGCGTCCTCTCTGGCCTCAGCTGTGACACTGCCTACAGTGTGGTGGTGATTCCCTGCAGTGATGTGAGCGGTTGGAACCGTGCTTGTAAAGCTCACACCAAAGACACAGGTAGAAAACTTGTGTATATAAATAAGACATATCCAAGGAGAAAAAGTCCACAATATCTAAAAAAAAAGATGTCTCCTCATAATTTTGAGGGGTCCTTAAACAACGTGGACACCATTAACTCAGCCTTCTGTCCATTCTCGAAGCTCCCTGCATGCCGAACAATGTGATGCTCAATCCAAAGAACTCCTCCTGCGTCACTGTCAGTTGGACAGGAAATAACAGGGCCGCTAATTACACTGTAAGCGCAAATGGAGATGATGACAAACACATCTGTAGCACCAATAAAAGCAGCTGTGACATCACTGACCTTTCCTGTGGCTCCACCTATGAAGTAAGCGTCGAAGCAACCAGCACAGCTGGTCCGAGTTTACCCAGCTACTCTGAGTTTCTAGAAACAGGTGAGCAGTCGAATGCTGTCGCTCACGAACGGTCAGTGCTGCTTCTTGACCTTTCTTGCTTAACTTTACAACTTTGCATACCTTCATATGTGACTTTATTCCAGGTAATTATACGGGACCTAAAATAGTTTATGTTCAATTAAACACTTTGCCCATCTTTACGTCAATTTTTCTAGTTTACAAGACTCATATTTAGACACTTTTGCCTAGCTGCAATATAAAAATATACTGAACTGTACATTAATTGATATGTTATAACTATTTCCCACGCCTCATCTTCTATCGCAGAACCGTGTTGCCCAGTGAATCTGACGGTGGATCAGGTGACCCAGGCAATCACCAACGTGTCGTGGTCTCACGCCAAAGGGGCACGCTTGTTCATCGCCACTCTGACATCATCACGCGGTCATGCCCGCTGCCATACCCAGGACTCCCACTGCCTCATGGGATGCATCACCTGCAGCACCAACTACACTGTCACCATGGAGGCAATCAGCCATAACGGACGCAGGTCCAACTGCACCTATCAGGGTTTCTCATCAAGTGAGTGATGTCTTCTAATAAACCGTGACAATAAGTAACAAAGAGTGGTCAGTGAAAGATAAAAGAAAACATAAAACAGAAGAGGTGTGGACAAATTTAAAGGCTAAAATGATCTGTCAGAGAGCTCTGACAAGTTTATTAAAACGTGCACAGATCTATTATGGTTTTACTTTGGTTACTTGTTTGAAATATGTACATAGTTTCAAATAATCATGGCAATTTACGTGCATATCATGCAATGACTCAAAAGATAAGGCATCGGACTCCTCTAATGGCTTTGGTCACAACCCCCAGCCACCTGCTGATCAAACCTTCTGTTTGCTAAGGACAGCCAATCCAAAGAAGGCTGGCTTAAAAAGAGGGTTGCCTTCAAAGGAGAAAAGTTAAAACAACTCTTTTAGAGAGAGGATGAACTGTGGAGCTCTGGCAATCATGTGAATCATGCAAAATTACTAAAACAGAGTATAAGACTAAAAATATGGAGGTGCAAAGCAGCGTAGTAAGTCACTTAAAAAAACTAATTTATGACTTAAAGGCCTTTATTTTATGTATTGAAGTAAAAACTTACAAGGAATTGTGGATTTTTTTAAAGTATCAAGATAAGTGTATACAAACAGAAGATATGCCTACCGATGAAGGAGCAAAACCAAAGCTGTTACAGTCATAGTAATCCGTTTTTCTTCAGCCTTTAATTGCAAAGTAGTATTCTAGTCACAAGACATGCATCACTTCATTAGCATTTCTTTGTCGCAGGTCCCTGCTGTCAGTCTGGTGTCAAATTATACAGCACGACCAGTAACTCTCTGCGGGTTTACTGGCGCAGCACTGGGAGCAACCACAGCTCCATCGCAGAGATGGTGGGGAGAAACAGCAACTACAACTGCACCGCAGCTCCTGGAGACAACAGCTGTGACTTCGGCAGCGTCCAGTGCGGGGACGTCTATCATGTAGTGGTCGCTCCACTCACACAAGAGGGCAGCAAAGTCCAATTCTGCCCAAAGAGACTGTACTCGGGTAATTCAAAGTGAAATTGTATAAAATTAGCCTTTGTGTTTATTTTATTTTCCATTGATTATATTATTATAGCGATCCCTTTCACACATTTTTCTCATTACTTCCATGTTTTGTCAGGGTAAAGTTTTATATTAACATGAATCAGTAACTGTGATTAGAAAAAAAGTACCTCAGATTTTGACTTTTCTGTTTCTGCTCTTTTAGTCACCTGTTTAGGAGACAACATTGGCACAGGTAAGTTTGCCATCTCTCTAGATTGTTTTTAATTTGGATTCAAAAAATGTTATGTTGGATTGCATTAGATTGTAAAAAAAAAAATGCATGCATTTTTTTCTAAATATGCTTCAATCTCTTCTCCATCAGTTATTTACAGAGGGAAGCGAAGCGTGGACTAGCATGTTTAGCAACAAATGGTAAGCAGCTGGCTAAAGAGAGCATATATAAGCAATAGCAGTACTGTCAAAAATAAAGCCTGAGGGCTCGAATCAGTAAAGACTTCAATCTGGTGCACTGGACGGCTTTGGAAAATTTGAAGGAGGAATTTTTAGCTTTTCCTGGTGATAAAGATCCCTGATACACACAGACATTTATACTACACTAAAGTCTACCTGTTATAGATCAACATATGGGTAAAAAGAATAAAATTAAAAAGGACATTTTCTGTGAATTAAGTTTGATGTTTTGATGTTATGTTTGAGTTACCAGAACCTTTTCTGTAATTTTACACATGTATCATGCAGAAAAAAAAACTACACGAAAGGTATGAAATATAAAAAGATGAAAATTATTAAGATAAGATTCAAAAGTCTTCCATCTGAAACTTTGTCAGCACCACTCCTTTTTTTAAAAAAATGTACCATAAATGCCAAATACAAGTATCAGAGTTCACTTTCTGTTTTTATGGTGCTAAACTGTGGAACGGTCTATGTCTTGAATTTATGATAACATTTTTAATGACAGTTAAAATAATTGACCATCTTTTGTTTCTACTGTCTTGTGTATATTAATGTCTATCTTCTGGCTACAAAAAACACAGCCACACTTGACATTGTTGTCATCAGATTTGAGCACATTAAACCAATGAGCGAAAATAAAAGTACAAATATTGCAGGTCAGTATTCAGTTTTCATGGGTTTTGATCTTTTTCCTCGACAGAAAACATGTTCATCGTCCTCTTCCTCATCCATCACCCCCATCCTCACCGGAATGATCCCAGCCTCATAAATATATAGAGAAACAACCACAAATGTTTAGCCATGAAACATGTTGGTATAATGTTCGATGATTTTTATGTGGCATAGGAAAGCAAACCCACAGTCTGCTCCAACATTTAAGATTCAAATCTGTGATCTGTGAAAATCACACATTAAAGTTAAAGTAACTAAAGTTATGTTAAATTGGGGAAATTAGAAATTAATTTTAACCACAAACTACTGGATTTAATAGGAAAAAGATTTAAAAAAAAAAAAAAAATGGTAAAAATTGCAATTGATAGTTGATAGTAAAACATTTACCATGCTTGAATAGCTAATTCAAACTACATATGATGGATTTTTCTTCTTCAGTTCAAGAAATTTGTCATAGAGATGACTGAAACACAATAGATGTGTAGCTCATTGTCCTCCTGACAATCAAGGAACACGAACTGATATATTCATCTTTAAATACATGATTTTTTTTCCCTTTTAAAACAACTAGTCAGTTCTCTGTTTTATATTGTTAGGATGTAATGAACTGCTTTCAGTACGTGTCATTGTCTCAAAGTGATGGAAATTTCTGGTAATAAAGAACTCCCAGCATCATCATCATATAGTGTTTTGTTTTGGATGTAGATATGTGATCTGTAAATCAGGATGTTGATAATGCTTTGTTAGTTAAATCTGTTTAACAGTCACATGGCCGCAGTTACTATATTCAGCGTGTCCTGCTGACATTCAAACCAAGCATGAGAATGGGCAAGAAAGCTTGTTTAAGTGAATTTCAATACATTAAACTGATGATGTAGAAGTCTCAAACACTCATAACCTCATGTATCAACGATACGTTTGCTTTAAAGGGTTAATTCTGTTAGAAGCTGTTTTGTTGTGTCTGAAACTTTCCCTTCTTCAAGAGCAACTGTATTTTCTTCAAACTGATTACACATGAGTGAACACTTGGCTCTCTGATGAGAATGTTATATTTGGTAAGGCAAACAGCATCATCTTCATCTTTGTGTTACATTGGAAATTTAATCAAATCTGATCAAGTTGGGTGACATGTTTGAAGTCTGGACTTACATGCAGGTAATATGTTAGACTGGACTAAAATGTTACAAGTTATAGATATATTTATCAATACATTTATAAAGTTCTGACACTGTAAGTAAACCAGAAAATCGGATAACCAAGTTGCAGAGAAAGCAATTTAAGAAGAGATCCCAGAGCTCTGTGCCACTGCCTCCAGCTCTCCCGTAAACAGAGGTCTCTAAAATCAGAAATTTGGCCTGTAACCATCTTTTGGTTTTCACACTCCCCTATCTCCCAAGTGTCAAACATAAATATACAATCATACATAATATACAGTAGCTGTAAATATGGGGATTGTTTTTTAACTTCAGAGTATAAAAGATAATAATCAGAATGTCCTTGTGATGTAATAGTTTGTGGTCTTTCCTTTTTTGCAACCAGCCTCAACTAGACGACTAGAGTTTGTGTCACTCCCACATTGGCTTCATTTTTCAGCTTTGCCAGTTGCCACCTGTTTCAAATGTCAAACCTTGAGGTTTTTTATTAGGTCAAGCCGAGTAATACCGGGAAAGATACACTGGCTTTATATAATGCATTGAAAAAAGTTTTCAAAGTCTCAAATTACAAAAATAGTTCCCAAACACCAGACATTATTCCTGCTGAAAAACTGCTGCCAGGTTTTACATTGAAAACAGAGAAAACTTCCCTCCATCCCTCTTTTTGTTGATTCACGGCATCTCTGGTTGCCTGGGGCTGCTGGAGGGGCAGCCTGCCCCCATTTAGGGAATACTGATTGGTTCTCAGGTTGAGTGGACCAAAGCTTAAAAGAATCCAGCAAACGTTTTGTATTTGACTCTCTCGTATAGTAAACTAATTTTAATCCCGCTCTCATTGTTAAAGATGGGGTTGTTGGGAGCCATAGGCTTTTTTTTAGCTTTGGTAACTCTAACTCAGGTAAATACAACTTTTAAACTTGTTGAAATCTATCAAATGATCAATATTTATCAATAACAAAAGAAAAATAATGTTCTATTGTTTTTATTTGCAGACACACGAAGTTGCAGAAGGTAAGAAAATGAAAAAGTCTTTTTTTTTTTAAAAAATACAAAGGAATGATTGTGAATAAAAAAGCACTACAGATAGATTCAAATAATAACAAACTTTTTTTGTGTGTGTAGCTGCATTTTTTGCTCCTGTACAACCTTTAATAACAAAGCTTACTGCATGTGCTTCCATTTATTCCAGGGTGCAAAATCTTGTCAGCAAGTGCCTCAAATGCATCATCAATTCTAGTAAAATGGGAAAAGCATGCTGAAGCGACCAGTTATATTTTGGAGCTTCGAGAGAAAAACTCTCCGCAGTCTGCACCGATTACAGTGCCCATATTCGGACACCAGACTGAAAGGAACGTCTATGGTCTAAAACCAGGAACTGAGTATTATGTGACTGTCAAAGCTTTTGTCTTCTTCAGTGTGGCGTGTGTGAATTCAACCCTGGCTTCCACAGGTAAGTTCAACATTTTTATCAGGGGTCAGTGCCCACATGCATAAATTCATGTAAAACTGCAGTATTTATAAACACATCAAATACATCCACAATGAGCTGATAAAGAACTTGAGTGACTAAAAAGCTATTCATAAAAGAATACCTCATAAAAGAAAAGCCAGTTGTCCCTTTATGCTGGAACGGTGCTATTATGCACAGACTTAATACAGATCAACACTACTTGGCACCCTTAAGGGAAATTATTAAAATCACACTTTAATAGCATTATGGTATTATTTTTTAAATCACTTCACTCTTCTCCTCTGCAGTGATTTAAAGAAGAGAAAAGCACATGGTAAGTTAATGTATTATATCTGACATGTAGCTTTGTGCTTGAATAAACAGAAAAAAACCCATTTGGTGAAGATAGAGACTCTGTAATTCCTTTGTGCTTTTTTAAATGTAAGTTTTAAAAATATGGCAAATAATTTTAGCTAGTATCTGCAAATTTCTGCTATGTTTTGTTTTGTAATTTTGTAATTTTTCTTTGCACAATGATGAAAAGATACAAACAATACATTGCAACACAGTTTGTAATTCTGTGTTGGCCACACTGACATGTGTACCTATATGTGCACATGAGTGACTTACAATAAAGAAACAAAAAAAACGAAAAATACCGCAAACTGAACACAATGTTGATGTGTCTTGATGTTTTGCTTCCACAGAAGATATTACACAACATATTCATCATACGCTGCTACACCACAGGAAGAAAGTCGTGCTCCTAAAGGAACAAATGTCAACCAGGAATCAGTCATGGAGCAAGAAAATGAGAAATGGTTTTGTTAAATGATTTTCATGTGTCGAATGAAAAAACAAGTGTAACAGCAGTTCTTTCTGTGTGTTCTGCTCAAAATATGTCAGAAAGGCCATGTGGTGGAAAAATCTGCCTAACCACACAGGTGTAGCTATCTGCTGTAGCAGCTGCTTGTGAACATGGGAGAGACCTCTTCACTGTATGAAGTAACCAATAAAATACAATTTTTTAAAGTTTAAACCCAGGCAGGAGGCATGTTGGTGATGAAGTGCTAATGAAGACACCGCTCTGTGAACCTTTTCCTGATCTGCCTTTGCTTTAAATTCTCTTTGTGCTATTTATGATTATGAGAATTAAATTTTAACTTTGTGCAGCATGTGTGTAAAAATGAGCCTACTGCAGGTAGGTGGTTTCCAGCATCAATTTGCATTTGAGAGTAAATAATTAGTTTGTGTGTAATTTTATGGTAATAATTATACAAGAAATATCTTCTCGGTGACAACATGTTGTATTCTATTTATTCCATGTCAATAGTGAATCTAGTTCTAATAAAACTGAATTAAAGTTCTTTAACAAAACTGATATTCATGCTGTTGGTTATCAATGCAAAACACCTTTACTCTGTACCATATTCACTCAAACTGGAAGCCAAAATGATTACCTCTCATTTTTGTTAATACACATCATTCCTTCTTTTTACCAAATACCAATGATTGGGAAATTACTCATTAGAACATCTCTTATTTCTGTTAAAGATTTTTGTTTCGAGCAGAGATGCAATTACCTGAAATGTAAAGCTGAACGTCATCAGTATGCAGACTGACTTTAACAATGAGGGAAGCTATATTTAATGTTAAACCCACAATTACAGTGAGTTAGAAGAAATTCATTGCTGCAGTTCCATATTATGGTGTTAACATATTTTTAATCACCAGTATCGCAGAAGAACACACAGAGAAGAGGGCTCAGATTAATTAAACACCCTACAACGTGCCTTTACATAAGACAGCTGCACCTCTGCAGCTTTGCACGGCGCTCCTCCCAGAAACAATGGTTGCCATGGACTTTTTTGTAGCGCAAGTTTCACTTGGCTGAAGTCTTTGAAATCATAAATGGCTCTGGTATTATGTTCAGCGTACTGTGAACAGTGCTGGTTATCAGTAAGGAAACTGTAACTCTCTGTGGGGAATAGTTGGCATTGAATGGTAAAACATGAACCATGACTCTCTTTTGTCGAGACACCTATCTCTTAGCAGCTTGTGTAACAAACACCAAATTGAGATTTTTATAGAATATTTCTTGTATAATTTCCTCGCAAAAAGCACGCACATAATAAAAAACCTACCACATTAACATTCATTTCTCAAAGCACTCAAAACATGAAGGGACATTTTTTTCTGTGTGTCCTCAAACCTGTTGAGGCTTTCTCAACCTAGGCTAACTTGATGCCATGATGGTGACCGTGAAACCATATTTTGTCACAGTATAACATTTCATCAGATCATGTCTCCAGAGGTTAAAGAGACATTTAGTAGTCAGGGGAACCCTGAGTTCCAGTGCAGGAAATTACTCAGGAATCATTCAAGTAATCATTACATTTGTGAGCTCCCGTAGATTCTTCTCCGTTTACAGGCGTTGCTCAGCTGACCTGTGCTGCTTCTGTGGCTTTGACATTTACTGCTCTTTGTGAATTTAACAAGCAGTTTTCCACGATGTATGGAAGCAGTTGTTACATGAGCCACCGTGGCAGTTTTCCAACCCTTTGTCAGTATAAAGCTAGAACTTGGCAACTGTTGCTAAAGACCATCTTCACTTTCAATTCTGCTCAACTGCAACCAAAGTCTTTCTAGAAAACAAATCCTGCCACGTGGCAACCTTCTTAAAAAGCATCCCAGAACCTATTTAGGAACTTCTTTTATTTTCAAGTATGGATGTACTTAACATTTCAGTTTATTCTGTTAGTAAAGTAAAAGTGGTGTCAATGATTACAACAACTTTTCATCTAACTTCCACATCAGAAAGAACTACATTTTTAGTGTGGAAAAGTATGCCTCTCTCTTCTATATTGTTCATTCAAGTATGCCTTTGTGTCTTATATTGTGCCAAACTGTGCCATTTCCTGTATTAGGTGCAGTGTAATTAAACTGTGGATGAATACCTGGAGAAAGTACCAGACTGAAAAACATATTTCCATAATGTCAAAGGATCTTGCAAAGAAAAGCGTCTGGACTTCTTTAAGTTGCTTGAAGACGTTTCACCTCTCATCCGAGAGGCTTCTTCAGTTCTAAGGTCAAATGGTGGAGAGTCCCAGATTTAAACCTAGGGGGAGTAACCCCCCACAGAGGGACAAAAGGACCCCCTGATGATCCTCTAATCGCCTGAGCCAAGGTGTGAAAATGGGTGTGGGTCCCAATCAGCCAGGGTTTCGGGTGAGCTCATTGTGAAACCTGGCCCCACCTTATCATGTGAATTCCTGAGGTCAGATGGCCCAGGATGTGAGTGGGCGTTAAGGCGTCTGGGGAGGGAACTCAAAACTGGATTATAGATGGCAGAGAGTTGGTGTCGTAAACCACCGCCTCTGTTCAAAGATGGTCGCTCACAGTGGACATAGATGGCTTCTTTCACTCCTCTTTCAAACCATCTGTCCTCTCTGTCCAAAATGTGAACATTGGCATCCTCGAAAGAGTGACCTTTATCCTTAAGATGCAGATGGACAGCTGAATCTTGTCCTGTGGAGGTCGCTCTTCTATGTTGTGCCATGCGCTTGTGAAGTGGCTGTTGGGTCTCTCCGATCTCTCCTTGAGTACATTTGAGTTCCCTCCCCAGACGCCTTAATGCCCACTCACTTCCTGGGCCATCTGACCTCAGGAATTCACATGATAAGGTGGGGCCAGGTTTCACAATGAGCTCACCCGAAACCCTGGCTGATTGGGACCCACACCCATTTTCACACCTTGGCTCAGGCGATTAGAGGATCATCAACCTGACGTGAAAGAAGATTGAACTGTTATTGATTAACATAATAATTTATTATTATTATTATTGTTGTTGTTATCACCATCATACAGAGATAACATGATAAAATAGGACGCACTAACTGAAATCAGTGTGAATTTTTTCTATATATTTTCATTTTAGTATGTGCATAACATCACTAATATAACCACTATTATATTGTCTAGGTGCACTGTACGTTAAACTGAATAGATGATGATGACTACCTTAAACTCTAATATTACTTGATTAAAAGCAGCATTTCCTTCAACATCATCTGCACCATTTTCACTTATACTTCTTTCAACAAAGCAATGTCTCATTTTAATATGACTCACTTCACCAGATAGGTGCCTGCTTAATTGTGTAAGGATAAAAAGTGAGGTTGGAAAACTGCAAAAACAAACTCCTATAAACCATTACATTCACAGTAAAACTACAGTGTTTTATACACTACTGCTCAAGAAAGTGTTTTATATTGTAAAGAAATACTGTTATTTTCTGCAGAAGAAGCAGTGCCAGATGCCAATTCTGACAGAAGGCCTTCATATTTGTAGAAACAGAGTGTCACAGTCTGGCGGTGGCAGACTGTATTAATTGTGAAGAGTGGACCCAAAATGCAGACACGAAGGAACTTGGACCAAAGCTTGAGTATTAAGAAAAAGCGAGCCGTTTAATAACGCTGGTAAAAAAGGTACAAAGAAAGGGCAAGGCAAACCGAAGTAAACTAACATCACCCTAAACTGGGAGAGCTAAACAAACAACAAGAAACACCTAGACATGAAACATGACATGGAAACCTTGGCGTGGACAACAGACGACCTGACAAGGAATGAACAGAAACACACAGACTAAATACACGCAAGGGTGATTAGGGGAAGTGGAAACACATGAGGAAACAGCTGACACTAATCTGACATAACGAGACACAGGAAGCAAAGCTGACTACGCTGAACTAGGACACAGACTTTCACAATAAAACAGGAAACATGAGACGCAGACATATAAACTTGATAATATAAACTTGATAATATAAACTTGACAACATAAGACATGCAGCTTGAACACATAAAGGGCAAAGGGAGACTAAAACAAAGGGGTTGAAGATGCAAGGGGAATCGAAATAGACAAATGAGCTTAGATAATCGAATGAACTTAAAAATAAACCATAAACATCAAACATAAACTAAAACTTAAAAACGCTGGGTCAAAAGACCCAGGAACGTGACACAGAGAAAATAAAATGTCTGTCTGAAAAAAGATTTATATTTTTCACATAATGTGTGTTTTAAAAATGTTAGCTAAACTGCAATAAAATGTTGGGGTACAAGACTTACAATTCATGTGCTTATCTTTCTTGATGATATCAAACTTAAACCTTAAAACTCATGGTCTGTTGTGGTGACCCTCGCATTCACTTGCTTCTTCTGCGAATTAAACTTATACATTCCATTTGGTAAAACATGGCCTTAAATTGTTTTTCCTTGTTTATAACTAGTGCCAACTTCTGTACACCTGACTTCATTTCACTGCATGTTTTTAATGTTTTTACTCTGGTCATTCAGCCTCCCCTGCAGGAGACCAATGCCCTCCAAAATAGCAAGCACCTAACTTTGAGACACCCTGCAGTAGGGAAATCAGAGATTGAATATATGTATCCTACCAAGCAGCTTTCATGCATAATATTGTCGCTGATTTGAATGCAGTCGTCATTAATTCACCTCTAGGTTCCTTACAGGGTAAAGCCAACTTTATATAAAGATGAGCGTAGCTGTTGTGATGACAGAAGTTGCACCAGGGTGTAAACATGTTTATTTCTGTTCTAAAGTTGTGCATTTTAACATGGGCGTGAATTAGCATTGACTTGCTTTTAAACTCAAGTGGCCATTCAAGGATCTGCAGTTTTTGTTATCTGGTCAATGGATTCATTTTTAACCACTGGAGATCACCGCTTGGTGAGAAGCCAGAGGCCGAAACAACCCAACCCTTCTGTGTTGCATTGTCATTTTTATGGAGGCCGATTTATGGGAAGTTGCAACACAGGATCCTTAACACCGACCTGTAATATTGTCTACCTCAGGACAATATCACAGCTAAAATATCAAGATGTTCACATTATTTGTTCATAATTGCTCTTTTGCCTAAGAACATCTAAGGTTTCCTCACAGTATTCTAGCCCATATCCATTTTCACACTGACTTCCTTTTTTGTAATACACGAAGAGGAACCATAGGCCTTTATTCAAGTGTGACAAAGATCTTTTTCAGCCCAGCATGTAGCCTACATAATGTCAGCTCTGGGATTAAGATATCTAGGAAGAAATCCGCTTCACTTTTTGTTTGTACTAAACACCTGCAAAAATTCAGTTTATGAATGAGTTTACTCAAGTTAGTAAATCTCTGTGCGTTAGGAAGTTCATCCCATCTAGATGAAGTCCCAGTTCACAAGTTTACATTCCTGACTTTAGTTTCAGGTGCATTTCTTTTCTTTGCTTAAGCAGCCCCTCCCAAGTTCAGGTCATTTACCGCGCTCTCATGTATTGTTTCTTGAAGAAAAAGAAACCACTAAATGAATAACGATGTGTAAACATTCAGTTACTTTGACAGAAAAAAAACAAAAAACAACTGAACAAATGAATCAATCATGCTTGGGTTAATGAGCAGTAAGGCTTAATAGGTCAGTAACATTATGTCGTAAACTACGGCTCCAAATATTAGGTACGACAATGCTGTGTTAACATGTGACATAGGACTTATGTGGATGAATTAATATTTTTTCTCTTGTGATTTAATAAACACGGCTGAACTGAGAGATCCTAAAACTAATCTTTTGTTTTCTGTAGTTTAAAAAACAGAAGACTTGCCACAATGTCATACAATAAATGAATTCTTATCAATGACTTTGAACAACAAAAAGACTGTTTGATATTGCAAATAATAAACACAAAATAATAGATACTACAAATAGACAGCAAGGAAAATGCCTGGATCGAGGTTATGGCTGCTGATAGACTGAACAAGAGGGAAAAAAGAGAGAGGAAGTGAGAGAGGGTGATGACCTTCCTGTCATCCTCATTTCAGGTAAACTCTCATCCATGTATCCATCCCGCCCTCCATCCCTCCCTCATGCTGTGTTCCCAGGGCAGCTTATGCTGCCTGGGGCTGTTGGAGGGACAGCCTGCCCTGTATTTGAGGAATACTGATTGGTTCTCAGGCATACTGAGTTAAAGCTCAAAAGAATCCAGCACACCTTTTGCATTTGACTCCCTTGTATAGTAAAGTAATTTTAATCCCGCTCTCATTGTCAAAGATGGGATTGTTGGGAGCCATATGCTTTTCTTTAGCTTTGGTAAGTCTAACTTGGCTAAATATAACTTTTTATGTTAAAATCTATAAAACTGAAACAGTTGTATGATTTTTCATTGTTTTCATTTACAGACACTTCACATTGCAGAAGGTAAGAAAATGGAGAGATTTGCATGACTATGCAGGTCTAAAGAGCTATGTATTTGCATAATTTGGTCATTTTTAAACTTATGACCATGATAATGACTAGACTATAATAGAATAGAAAATATCATTAAAGCTCAAGATGTCACACTGGCTTCTGTTCAGTGTGACATATATGTGGCTGTATTGTTTGTTGCTGTGTAACCTTTAATGTCAAAGTTTATTGCAGTGCATTTCCATTTCTTTCAGGATGCAACATCGTGTCAGCAAGTTCATCAAGTGCCTCATCAATTTTGGTAAAATGGAAGGAATATCCTGGAACAACAAACTATGTCTTGGACCTTCGGGAGAAAAACTCTCCACAGTCTGCACCAGTTATAGCGTCCATATCCGGATCCCAGACTGAGAGGAACATCTTTGGTCTAAAACCAGGAACTGAGTATAATGTGACTGTTAAAGCTTTTGTCTTCTTCAATGTGGCGTGTGTTAATTCCACTCTGGCTTTCACAGGTAAGTCCAACATTTTCACAACAACACTGATTGATCAGGATTGAAAATACTGTCATTTTTTTATGTTGACTTCCTTTAGCAGTTTATGTGAAATAGTCTCGCCTGCTCTTTCCCACCAGTCCCTGACACATCACAGATAGTTGAAGGGCGAGCACTATCAAGTACTTCAATCAAAGTAACATGGACAACAGTGCCTTCAGCACAGAAATACTATCTAGAGGTGTACTCTCAGACCACTCGAACCACGATGAACTTTACATACACCAACACCACAGCTGTGATAAGAAACCTGCAGCATTCCTCCAACTATGACTGCTATGTCTACACAGTTAACCAGGCAGGCCTGGGAAGAGGAAGCAAAGTGAAGACCATCACAACCTGTAAGTGACCAACTTCAATTAGAATGTAGAAGTGCTTTAGGGTGGATGGGTATTTTATAGTCGCTCTCTGAAAAACAGGTAACTCTTGCAAATGTTTGGTAAATTTAAAAAAGAGAACGTTCAAAGAGATCTCATGACTTTTGCAGGGGGACAGGAGCAGATATTCGAAAATAAATGCATAGAAAGTGAAAACTTACATTAAAGCTATGCACCTTACTTTAAGTGAACTAGAAAACACATGAACTGATCCTTTAAACGTGGCTGTATGCATTTATAAATGGTAGCTTGACCCTTTTTAATCAAAGGTCTCTAAGAATTAGAAACTTGTGTAGAAAAAGTATTTCACTGATTTGTGTCAACTATTTAAGAGTATTCATATCTGAATAAATCCCACTCTCTTTCAGTGGTGCAGCCTCCAGTGGGTATCACTGCAATACAGACTAACCAGGTTATGGCAAGAATAACGTGGGAGCCGGTGAATACGGTCCTTTTATACCATGTCAAGATTCGCAACCTAGATGATCCCAGCAGCCAACCCTCTTCACACGATGTCCCAGACACCAAGCTGGATGTTCAAGGCATCCTCCCATGCTCCACCTATCTGATATCAGTGTCCTCATACAGCACGTTCTTGGTGGCGAGCGAGCCCACGGACTACACATACACCACCAACAGTGAGTCTGCAGAGCCACACAATATCAATAACTTGGTGATTAGGATCTAGGTCAGCCATTCTCTCTGAAGCGTCCCTTTCAGACACTTAGAATATGATCCTCAAGGACAATTCAGATGTTCTGAAAACCTATTTGTTAGGTTAGGTGGAGGCTGATGGGAAAAGAGACATGTGAGAAGATTATTTGGGTTTTATTGCACTCTACTATTAGATATGAGGTTTCCCTTCAAATACAGATTAGAGGCAATGTAGCATCAAACATCAGTGAAATGATATAATTTTCTGAAATAAAATTATATTAATGCGTTGCTTGCAGAGCTGACACCTGTTTCATCGGTATCAGTGGACTACAGCTGTACCACTAACTCTGTCACCGTGTCTTGGCCGGCTGCTTCGGGGGCCACGTCCTACAGGGCCGTGGCAGTTGGCAGTAATGGCACACAGCTGGAATGCACCAGCCAAAGCACCAACTGTCTGATTAAAGGACTGAGCTGTGGCCAGGAATACACGGTGTATGTAACGCCCATATCAGACAAATGCAAGAACTTAATCAACAACACCTCAACTACTTTTAATACTGGTGAGACCGAATAAACACACACACACAAAGAAAATGAAGCACTGTGGTTCCCTTTAAAGTCTGTTTTTGTCAGGGTTTTTGTGAAGTGTGTAAGCAGCATACCCAACCAGCTGAACCTTTGTTCACATCGGGATTGTTTCCTTCTTCAGCTGTAAAAGCTGAAATAATCCATCTTGTTTTAAATGAGGAAGAATCTGAGAGCTCATATTCCAAATACTCGTATAGGTTTGGTATTGAAAAATCTGGCATTTTACTTTTAAGTTTTAAAATAAAGAAGCCAATCTGAAGAGAGGCTAAAAATAATGAAGAAGAAATATAAAGGAATTTGTTTTAACAAAGAAATGTAAAGCAGTGATTCTCTATTGATGTCCCACATTTAGGTATAATTGTCCACAAATCAAGCATAAGGGGCATAAGGTGGTCTAGTAAGTGGTCACGTATTTCAAGCTTCTACCTTGTAAGGGAACTTCTATAAATGTCAGACTTTCAGAAAGCTGCTCTTGAACTACTGGAGACAATATACAACTCTTTTCATAAGATCAGCATAAGGCCTCATCCTGTTACACAAGCATGTGTAAAATGTTTTTAATGCTCCTTTAGATTAGACGTTGAAACACTGAACATCTTTATCGGGAGAGACGATTCATAACTAGCAGTATTTTTACCTATTGCATAATTTCTATTGGTAAATATTTGGCCCTCCAGCAATAGTCAACTGGATGTCAGGACTTTATTGTCTATTTTGGGCAGGCAGTTAATCTTTTCGTCTCACATATCCCTCCATTCAGTCGGGGATCTCGGGGCTGAGAGTGCATGTTCAGCCCCACCCAATGGGTCACATTGTGCTTGGCTAAGTTGTCCTGACTTGGATGCTGCTGAATATAATTTCATGACAAGCAGCTCTAACATGTCAACCACCCACGTATTTAATACGGGACAATGAATCCTTAAGTCAATCAAGTGATATAACACCTTTTTAAAAAGAACAAATCCCTGGAAAGGGCAAAGAAAAACTCTATTTTTTATAATAACAATAACAACCTCCACCAATCAGCTACAAATTAATTTTGAGACAAGGATTGA